GCTTAAGAACTCTAGAGCAAAGCAATCATACAGCAGATAATTGCTTAGTGTACAAGTATTCCTAAGACACACAAATATACATGAAGAACAGAACTCTTCACTCACACATATGTCTACCACAATGTATCAAAAGATACAAAGGGTGACTTACAAAGTCACACACAATGGACTCTCAAAACCCTAAACCTTAATTCTACACTCAAGTTTTTCCTGTTGTGAGTGCTTGTTTTTCCCTTGCTTCTGCGCCTCCTTAAATAGCAATGCATACTGGGTTTGGGCTGGTCAAGAGTAACAAACATTATGTTTAACCAAGTTAAACCACTTTCCATAATTCAAGGTGCTGTCAATTTAGGTCACAGCTGCTTCATGTTATGCCTAGCCCTGACTAGAATCTCGCCTGAGATAACTAAGGAGTCATAACAGGTTTCCTGAAGTATAGCCTGAGTTTCCTCTTGCAATATAACAGTAAACCTAAACGCCCTGATGTCATACGCTTGACGTCATAACATCTAGCATGACATTTAACACACTTTGTTCTTAGCTGACCAAACTCACCCTACATACACTCTTGCATAATCTTCTTCATAACAGTAGAAACAAATATATTATAGTTCCCTAAAAAGTCTCAGAGATCCTTTTCATGAACACCAATTAAATCTGCACTTTGTTCCTAATAAATCTCTTTGGCCTGAACATACTGATGAGGTATATCCAGCAACACTTCTGTCAAGTGATATAAAACAGCAGCTCCTGCTATACCAGACAGCGATGTCATTAGTAATGACATCCTGATTAAACCACATGCCAACAGTTCTGTCATCAACTTCTGTTGTACCAGACAGCAATGTCATGACATTGGTAATGACATCCTGATTTAAAACACATGACAGCAGTTCTGTCATGACAGCAGATGGATGTCACGACATTCAGCATGACATTCACATGACAACAGTTTTGTCATCACAGCAGATGGATGTTAGAACACAGATTAGTTCTTAATAATATCTCTTTGTTTTGATGATAACTGTTAGGAAATTTTATATTTAAGAATTATATACTCTAAAATTTGTTTGAGAGTTTTACTGCAGATTGAAATGAAATTAACTCTCTAGAAGCAAATCTGAATTGTATACAAGAAGTTATCTTGACTCTGAAGCGCCAGATGCATTCATTAGAAGATTTTGATTGTTGTTTACAGAAGATCCTGAGCGTAGTCTCCAGAAGGATCTGAAGCAAGAAGCTCCAGAAGATTCTGAAGCTAGTCAGAAGCATCTGAAGCAAAGAAGAATATTGTATGAAGAGTTTCTCAAAGCATAGTTTCTACAGAAGTTTCTGAAAGTACTAACGCTGCCAAGTACTGAAGTTCTGTGTCAAATATGCTCTGATGATCAACACGCTGAAAGCACACATGCTGCAGAAGACTCTGATACAGCAAAGTTCTGAACATCATTAGAAGACTCTGACTCATTCAGATTCTGAAGAACTTGCTGAAAACTGAAGAAGAAATATTCAAAGATTATATCCGTTGGAGTAAATCAAATGTCTCTTTCCTCATTTGTGCTAGACACAAGAACACAAACAAAAAGAATTTTTCTGTGCTTTCTACTTCTAGGAAAGGTCACTTGATGTAAAGACAAAAAGGCTCAGACCTTTTTTGGACTCACTTTTCAACGCTCAGCATCCTTGGATCAGCTGCCTATAAAAGGAAGACTCCACCAAATTCTTCAGTGACACAATTTGCTGAAAAGAATTCATAATATTCAAAGCTCTCATTCTTTCATATTCTTCTTAGAATTTTTTGTACTTAAACTTAAGAGAAAAATCACTGTTGTGATAAAAGCTTTATAGAAGCATTAATACTCTTGTATTTGATTTACATTGATTGTAAAGGTTTTCCTTAAGAGGATTCAGTTGGAATCAGTAGCTCTTGAGAAGACTAAGAACAGTTGTTCTTAGGTGTTGCTATTGTAATCTGTTTGATTAAATAGTGGATTAAGTCCTTGTTGAGAAAGGCAAATCACTCTAGGAAGGGTGGACTGGAGTAGTTGTTTTCAACGAACCAGGATAAAAATAATTGTGTCATTATTTTTTAAGTCTTAATCTTTCATACTTATTCAACCCCCCTTCTAAGTATTATCTCACCTTCAATGGATGTCACGACATTCAGCATGACATTCAGATTAAAACACACCACAGCAGTTCTGTCACCACCACAGATGAAGATGTTATAACATCCTGCTTAACATCAGTGCAGAATCATGTTTTACCAAAATTTAGCCAATCATAGAATCATGGAACTAACACATTTGTTTATGAAGCAAAACAAATAGTGGTTAGATAAATAAAATAAATATCCAAATATATGATTTGGTGCTCAAATAAGTATTTAAGAAAACAAACCTTAAACCCAAGTAGTTTTCTGCTCTTGCAATCCATCTTAAGAACTTTTTCAAATGTCTTTATGTTTCAAGCGCTTCATATTTTATTTAGGTTAGATTTTTAATATTCGGCACGTTTTTATAATGGATGACCTTTAGGTTTCATGCGGGTTATTAATGGCAGACTCTTGAGCGTTGATAAACATTAAATGGACAACAAAGATCTGTTTAAGGACGATGAATATAAGTAAAAAATGTCTAACTATCCCGTCGGCCAAAAAGAAAACTGAAGTGAATTTTTATTTTACATGTCCAGGTCCCATGCAAGATATTAGAGATCTGTTTCTAAATAAAAAATTTTATTTTCTGCACTTGCAATCCATCCCATAGATTTGTTTAATAAGTGCTTTTATAGTAAAATATAATTACTATTCACCTCAATTTTACTATAAAATCGAGATTTATATCTTCTCCTTTTAACTATCACCTTAGTGTTAAATAAAATCGAGGTGCATAATAATAATTTTTTTTTTAAAAATACATTGTTTACACAAAATATTAAAATACATTGTTTACAACAAATCTTCGATGATATCCAAATTTTGTTGCATACCCATTTAAATAGGCATTAAGGCAGAACTATTTGAGGAAAGTAGTTCTCAGTTAGCTCTCGTAGAAGGCATTATTGTGGAGGCACGAAGTACCTTATAGTATAGGCAGAGAAGTCAGTGGTTAGACATAATTTATAGTACAGAAGAGAAGTCGATAGTTAGACGTACTCAATAGATTATGTTTGGTTGTATTATTTAATATTTTCAAAATAAATTATGTATGATCGATACATTTTGATCTTATTTTAATTAATGTGTGACTTTTTATTTTCATTTTACTTTAATATAACTTAATTTTACTTTGATTCTTATGTAATATAACTTGGTCTAAGAAAATGTAGAGAGAATATTGCTGCTTTAAAATCATTCAAAAAATTTCTGAATATGCATCTCCGAAATATCCTTTATGCACAATTAACATGCTCCCAATATCTTTTAAATAAATACAGAAAATATTTCTGAAATACATCTCCGAATACGCTTCAAATAATATTTGAAGATGTATTTTCGAAGAACAATTTGTTCAAAATAGGGGTGATTTTCAAAAATTACAAAGACTTGTATAAATTTTAAATTTTAGATACGTTAAAAAGTACATCTCCACACACAGAAAGAACATTCTGGTTTTCAGAAATGTATGGCACACCCATAGAGCTGAAAGAGTAACCCCTAAAGCAAATGGTTTTGGCCCAATAACTAGCGTGCACACACTTGTTTTTTATCTGTTTTTATTTATTTCTAAATAATTGGCAGGTAAGTCGAAAGATGAAAGTTACATTTTCTCTATCTCAACTTGTATGTAGTTTTAGTCATTTCACACAAACTAAAAAAAATATAGTGAAGTTTTCATCAATGACATTCATAATTTTTTAAAGGTTGCATCCCACCTAACTAAATTGAAAGAGTGTCAGCATTACAATTTTTAATACTATATTCAACACACTTGTTCTAATAAGAAATTCAAATAAATATCACTTATTCATTTGATCTCAACTACTAATATAACACTCCTTGACAAGAGTGTTAAAAATAATGTGTTTTAAGACTTTTAACTCGGGTAGCGATGGGTCACTATCACGTTTATAAGACCCATTTCATTACGTTACGTCTCATTTAAGTAATGTGTCAGCAGTGAGACTATGAAAATTAAATGCTAGCACAATAAGTTTACTTCCAAGCATTCATTTTACTTGAAAAAAATCTGAAAACAAACCGTCATGAATGGTCCATGCTCGTTAAACTCGTTCCTGAAATGAACCTCATAATGATGCCATACTATGTATGTTCATTTTCTCCCTTTGTAAAAATATCTTCATAACCTCATCTAAGAAAATGACATGATTTTAACAAGTCATGGAAGAAACTGTCTCTACCGTTTAGAAATTTCCCACATTTCCCACTGCTAACGTTGAACTGAACACCATTTACATGGAGAATAGGTTTAGTTACTGAACCACTGACAAATGAATTCACAAATATGCCAAATAGAAATATACGAATCTAAATGAAAATTCCAATTAAATAACTTCAATCAACAATCCCAATATATAGACAAAATTCCTATAAAGACAACAATGTCAGGGGAATATAAGATAACAAAATTACATATGAACATCAGAAACAACAATAATGAAAACAAAATGAGCAAAGCACCCTCGAGATACACTATCTCAAGGGAACTGCAAATTGTGCGTTCAAAGCTATAGCCAAAATTTTAAGCTTCAGTTAAGCCAGTCTCTCTAAACTTGTAAGATGGTAGAATGGTTTCACGCAAAAATTTAGGTAAACAAAGAAAATACTAGAATCTTTGACTTCATTCTGGTTATGTACCTCAACCTTCAAAATCTTTTTCAAGGCTCTCCTCTATAAGGCCAAAATTGCGAGCCCCTCTTTCCTATCGGCTGCTCCAACTCTTCTCGCTCTCACACACACACACAAAGAAAATGTAAATATACAATGATGGAGTTTGACATGGTATGCAGCATTGAACTGTTAGTGCTTTGAGGCTAAATCAGTCAGTGTCTCTTGAAGAACTCGGTGGAGAATCTATTCCGCTAGCAAACTCCTCAGCACTTGCCAAAGATGAAGAATTCCCTTGAATACGGGTTTCCTCGTTGACACTATTACGTAATTTCCCGGGCCTTACTCTAATATTGGCACCCAAGGGGAAAGGCTCCTGCATAAATAAATAAATAAATAAAAATAGGTCAAAACCACAAAAATACCAGATAGCATTTTATTGTGTTCTCAGAATCCAACTCAAGATAGAACCATAATGCTTTAGTGGTGTTATTAGCAAGTCATATATTCGTTTCTGGAAGCATGCATACGAGAATCTCTTTCTTAGTCATCTAATGTTTTATATCAATTATCCAGAAATATGAAGCGTGATATCCCACGTAAGAACGTTGGTACTAGCAAATGGAGTTGGCAACAGGAAAATAGTTACAGGTAAAGAATAAGCCGATTTACCGGATCACCAGCATTTGGACCATCTGTATGGAATAGAATAGGACGACAGCGTTTATCTTCATTCATCAGGCTTGAATTCTGGAAATGAGCAATAAGAGCAGATTTTCCTTGAATTCGAGCATATGCAAGCACAGCTACCTTTTCACTGTTAAATTTCTCCCATTTTTTCCCATTAAAAGCCTGCATAGCATTCATTATCGATTAGTTTTATCAACAGATGCAGAACAAAAAGAAACAGATGAACTCAAAATTCATATTGCATAGGCAAATAAGTAACTATAATTCATAAGAATACGAGAGTTCTCTAATAACCTGGTGGAATGGAACAATTTGACCAGGATCAATCATATTGATGAATGCATAGCCAACATTACACTTGTTCTGCAACAATTTGTACAACTGACTTAGAAAACATTTACCATTGCTTCACTTATCAAGAGTACCAACACCAAACAAATACTTACCTTGAAATCAATTGGCAAATACAGAAAATCATAAGCTCCCCGACAACTCTCATCTATGGCTGTAAGAAGCATCTTTGAAGTATACCTGCCGAGATAATTATACAAATATCAAATAAGAAAGAATAAATACCAACAAATAGGAAAGAACAAATTAATAGATAAGTGCCAAAGAATTTGCACGCTATACTCCCAGTAAAATCTGTAAGGAAAAACCCGTTAATCAATATAAACAAGAAAATATCCACGGGGAAATACTTTTGAAACAGATGAAAAGATAACAGTGCAAGCAGAAAAAAAAATGTACTAGAAAGAGAGAAATACTTGTTAGGAATATTTTTTATCATAAGTGTTGTTCGGCTGTCTTCCCCGCGCAATATGCGGCCTAGGTCGAGTTCAAATTGTTTTTTATCAGCGTTGTTATTGTTTGCTTCACTTCTGCGATGATACAGGTTTCTCATTCGTTCATTGGTGGAATCAAATTTTGACATTGAAGTCATGGGAAGTCTCCCAGGGAAGACATGTGACAACTGCTTAGGAGAACCCTGCCCAACACTGGATGTCAAATCGTTAACATTCCCACGAACATGAGAAAACATGTTGCTGGAAAGATCTGGATGATGCAACTGCCAGCTACCATGAAAACCTGCATTTCCTAGAGAACCCAATCTAAAACCAGAAGCATCAGGAGACTCTCCCAAGTAAGAATGCTGTCTTTCCCAGGGCGATCCTGTAACAACTGGAGCTGATCCAACATGGTGATCTATATGTGATGCTCTCAGAACATGAGGCGGTGTCCTGGCAAAACTGGGCATCTGTGGAAGACCTGGAGCACAAGCACCATTAACAAAAGATGGTGCTTTCTGCCAAGCCACTGCATTTGATGGAGATTGCTGACGCAAGTTTGAGCCATTCCACATATGATAAAGCTGGTGATGGGGAAGGCTCCCATTTCCTATGATGCCATTTAAAGTAAAACAATAAGTTTAACCTTTTGAATAAATTCATCCCTTCATGTCATAATTTATTTTCTATAGACTTGGAGCAATTCTGAAACTGTTGCAAACAAAGGATGATTATCCATAGCATATTAAACTTACCTCCTGCATTAAAATCTGCTAAGCTCCCAGTTGAGCTCATTCCCTGAATGTGCCTGCCATCAGATGCTTCTGTGGATCCAGTTCCAATATTGGCGGCCATTTTAATGGTGTTTGACAAATTGTAAGGACTACCATTAGCCAAGCCATCACAATACTCAGGCAAAGAATGAGGGTGGAATCTCGGAACAGCAGATGCCCCTCTTGTGTTGTTGGAAATACTGTGAAAAATTGTGTCATCAATGAAAGTATTCAAAGGCAGCTGTGATGCAGAATGGAATCTTTGATTATATCCATTTTCCAAGCTTCCACCAGATGCAATAACTCCAGAAGACACTCCTGTAAATTATGTCTAGTGAGACCAAGTACATCTTAGCTTCCAAAAAAGAAAAAGAGTAAAAGAAGGCGACATCACACCCTTTTGTCTTAAGAATAGGATGTCATTGAGATTATGACCAAGATCAGGTTCATCTGGTCCCTTTTGAGACGGCTGCATCATACTACAAAAGCAGGTTTCCATGATTGTTATGATCAGTAACAATTAAATAGAAGAAAAAGGTAATATTTTTTTCATCAAGGCAACTGATGACAACTCTACTCCATTAACCACTAGAAAGAGAGAATACGATCTAAGGTGACAAGAATAAATATGCTTACTCTAAATAAAGACTTCATCTAAAAACATATAACTAAGTTAAGCAAAATGATAAAAATGGCTCCAAGAGTTACTTAAAAAAAATAAAATAATTCAAAATGAATAAAAAGTTGTAATAGCCACCATGTTGCAATCTTCGGATGGCCAGGTTCAAGCTTGATGTGCTTCCCAGCAATGCATATCCCATTCAATGAACGGAGAGAAGCTTCTGCACCTCGAACATCATAAAATTCAATATATTTGATATGATTCATTTCTGAGTATTCATATATCTGCAATAAAAGACATAACATTTAAGAAGCTGGTAACATTTGTTGATACAAGCACCAAAACTGGATGAAAATCAACAATCTACAACTTACTTCTTTGATTTCTCCATAAAGCCCAAAAATATGTTTTAGTTCATCTTTTAAAACAGATGGATCAAGACCAGATATCATCAGTGTGCCATGGCCAATATCCTTCTCTGAAGCATTTCCCTAACACGTCATCAAGTTGAGATATATCAATAACCATAACATAAAAATTAGGAATACAGAGCAATTGAACAAGCAAAGCACATAGTAGTAATACTGTAAGATGCTAAGACAAACAGCAAAAATCCTGTAAATGATAATAATGGAAAAGGAATTATGCGTACATGAGAAGTTACAAGATAAAATGATACCTTTGGAATTGAATAATGTATATCCAGTTTCCTAGAATTCAATGACCTATTATGAAGTGATTTCATTGCATTTTGTGCTGCCCTTAGGTCATAATAAGAAACCATAACAAAGCCACGATGCTTGGAGGCAGTATAAATGGTTCGGATATCTCCATATTGCTGCAAGGACAAACAAAATAGCTCACTTATATGTCACTACATGCGGTATACAGGACTTCATTTAAATTCTAACATAGTAACTAGTGTCGTAAAAGAATAGAAAGTAAAGGTTCACCTCAAAGAGTGCCTTTAGCTCTGAGTCTTCTACATTGCTAGTAATGTTTCTAACAAAAAGTGTTCTAGAAGATTGTTCGCCAAAAGGACTTTTGCCTTTAGAACCCCCAAAGTATGCAGGATCTTCATCCAAGCCACCGAGTCTTTTTCCTGAAATTAGGAGTTCATCTCCTTCCAACTCCATGCCTCCGCCACTACTGAACAAATCATCAAAATCATCACTTGCTCTGGCATGAACAGTGCTTCCTAATTCATCATGGACACCGGAAAACAGATCATCTTCATCAGGAAGGAGATCCCCTATGGTGTCAGCCTCAATTTCTTCAAGAGATTTGTACGGTTCTTCCTCAGGAAGAAGACCAGCAGCTATGTTCTGATCAGACAGAACACCATTTCCCAACAACCTCACTGCACCAAGATATGCATATACTCAATCTCAGTGAAATCTGAGGATAAAATTGAAATCAACTAAAAACCCAGAACTGAAAGAAAACTTTTATTTGTTCTTTCTAGTGGAGTTCTGGTGTGTAGAACCCATATACCACTATGCTAATGATGATACAAAAGCAAATTAACACAACAAATACTTGCATCTTAAGAAAATTGAAAAGAATAGTACCCATGATACATATGTTCAACTATCTTAGCATGCATGAAACACATTCTTACACTTTTGGCTAAACATATCAGAGAGTGAGCTTGAGAATAGACTGCTTTCACGTGAGCCTGCATTGGTGACAATCTTGTTGCCAATTAAACCATACGAGCTAGATGCTGGCTGCCTGTGCACTTCAGACCATGATCTCGGATGATAATTCAGTGATTCTTTTGAATCCTTCAGAGCATCTACAATGCCAGCTTGTCCGCCAAAGTGTAGGTTTTCTGAAATTTCTCCAGGTAGACTAGTCTGCGACATTGGCAAGCCTGTTTTTGTGTTTCTTTCAAGGGTTGATGAAGTATGCAAAATGCTTCCAGTCGAAGCTGCAATTTCACTCTTTCCTGAAAATTTGAGCATAGAACTGAACTTACTTTATGCAACAAATTGATTACATGTTCATCAAATGAACTGCTTATTTGAGAAACATGAGTAAACAAACACCGACATGAATGCACACAGATATTACATTATTACAACATCCAATATCAACATGATTTAAAACAGCAAAATCCAGCAGAACAAAGCATCTAAATTCATAAAATCACCATTAATTTCCCAAGCTATACCACAATAAAAATGACCTAGAGAGACAAAAATGACATCTATGAACATCACTCCCCCAAAATGAAATGAACAATGCTAGTTAGCTACGTACATAATTACTTATTCTAAGTATTATAAAACAATTATACAATTTTGGACAAAGAAACTAAGATAATTATGCATTCAAAATTCCAAAAATGGAAAGTAAACTGTGTTTCAGTTAAAACTAGAGAGGTGTCAGATAAGGTATACAGAAAAATATGAAAACAGATTCCAATAAATTATCACATTCAAAACTGAGAGCAACTCACCTTGTGCGTAATCATCATGAACGGATTTTGGCTTCCGTAATCCATTCCTCTGTACATGAAAAGTTCAAGATATGTTTACAGAAAGCAAAAAGCATTGAGGCTATGGAATACAGGAGAATGAGAAGCCGGTTGACATTTTTGCAAAAGAAACTCAAGTCTAAGACTATAAGAAAATGTGAAAACCAAATGAGAAAGTTAGGACAATAATTACCTCAGAAGCATAGGAAACATCGTCATAAAGGTGAGATGAAGCAGTAACACCCCTCTGATTCATTATTTCAAAAGGCATCCTATAGCTTATCCAAAAATTATAGAAAGTGAACTATTACTGAAAAGCTCCTCACTTGCTAGCTTTGTTGGGCTCTACTCGTCATCATCATCTGTTGAATATTCAAGATCATTTGCTTGACAAAGGAAAGAACAAAAACAACAAATATAAAAATGGCAATACATAAAAAAGTGGGCATTTCTCACCCAAAAAATATCATCTATATTAGACCTCTACTAACATCAACCCATACCCCGAAAAATTGAGGAAAGGAAAAAAAAACTAAAGAAACCCTACAAGCACTCTCTTCCTAGATTCAGTTGCACCATTAAAAGAGATTGGCGTAAAAGGTAGGACAAATATAGTTGCATCTTCAACTAAACACTACCAAAATGAAAGGACTTCACAGGATGATCCTAAGAAAAAAAGAAAAAGAAAAAAAGCTCGTTGTTTACCTACCAACGACCTAATAGATTCAACTATTTGATCACCAAAATAAATAAATGTAGGAAATTGAAACAAACCCTTTATAAATTATCAAAATCTCCATTCAACAATCACAAAACCCTTCTCCAAAAAAAATTTATTCAAAAAAAAAAGTCTAGATGAAGCTTACAACGCTCCCCTAGATTCTATCACGAAATCAAGCAAAAGAAAAAAAAAATTCACAACAAAAGCCATAAATATCAACAGATCAAGCACAAAAAAAAAATCAAAATTCCATAAAGAGTCTAATCTGAATATTAACAGATCAGAACCATGAACATCAAGAGATTCTTATCTGATCATAAACCCATAACCAGTAGCATCAAAGAGAAAATAATTTGAACACAATAAAACCCCACCAGAAAAAGAAGGAAAAACCATAAATATTTTAAAGCTAATAAACAAATTCGCACCTTTTCAATTCAAACACAACCAAGCCAGCAGAAAACTCCAAAAAAATTCTTATCTTCGTTCCACCGCAAAATTCAGCAAAATCATCATCCAGAAACTCGAGATTACAACAACAAGAACAAAAAAAACAAAGCAAAACTGAATCTCGTAAACGTCAAAGAGATCTCAGGATGTTAACTCCAACAAAAACCTTATTCCCTCCACATTGCTATAATAGATATCTTTTTCATCAACAAAAACAAAAACCTCAATTATTCAACATTTTACAAGCTCATTTCTGAAGAGACGGTGCAAAAATAATCAGAATAGATAAATTTCAACGGAGTCAATCGTTCCGGTGAGAATAGAGGCGAATCTCCGGCGAGGTAATGCTCGCCGGTCGCTCTCTGGTTTGGTTTGGAGAGAAAATCAGAGAGAGAGAGAGAGAAGAGAAGAGGTTTTTTTTAGTCTTGTGACGGAGAAAGAGAAAGAAAAAGAAAATGAGGTGTTAGTTGGCTTTGAAATTCATCACATTAAAATTCTAAAATAATATTATTTATTTTATCATTTAAAAACTGAAAAACAAAAAACAGAAATGAAAGAGAATATATAGGCGCAGCGCATAGATAGTGTGTGTGGATTGTAAACTTGTAATAAAATAATCCAAACAATAACATCTTTTTGAAAAAAGAAAAAAAAAAAACTTTTTTGTATTTTTAAATATTTTTCCTTTCATTCCTATATTTACTGCAAAAAGAAAGGTGTATGTATTCTTGTGTTATTTTTTAAATAAAATTTCATTCCTATATCAACTGAATTAAAAAATAGTGCATTGTAATTTGTAATTTTATTTTTTTATTAATTGAAAAAAAAGATGGACCTGTGTGTGAGATAAGGATGTTTTCGGATAAAGACAATTGAGATACTGAAATTGTCAATAATTATGCATCTTTTTTTAATGATAAAAAGTTTCAATAATTATCCTAATGTGTAAAAGAATTTCATCATAAATCAAATAAAGGTCGGTGAAACTAAAAAACTATTCATGTGTTCAGCTAATTATAGGGTGCAATAATAAATATTTGTTTTTATGATTTTCACACTTTGCTAATGAATGACTTTTGAATTGTTGATGGTAATTTAATTATTTTTAGAAATCAGTTTAAATAAATTTTCCTATATAGATGTTTTGACCAAAATTAATCATTCTATCATTTAATTCATTTTATCATTTAATCATTTCTTTTTTTGGTTTATTTATGATTTTTTAATAAATTCTTAAATATCTTAGTTTTTTTATAAGAATTAAATATTGTTTCATGAATAATTTTGTACGCTTGATGAATTTTCTAATTGCATAAAATTAATAAGATTTTATAGCATTGAATATGTGTTTATCTGTTAAGAAGATATATCATTCATGTTTATAATATTTATAAAAATTAAATATTTATCATAGCTAAGACTATTGTAAGAATGTGCAAAATGTCGTATTTCACATTTTTTTTATACAATGTCTCACATTTTTTAGGATTAAATTATCATAAAAATGGATTTTACACTTATATTTTTAATTAATATACATGTTAAATAGAATCTTTTAAAAAAATTATGACTCATTTAAAACTAACTTCAACTTTAATTTAATGTCTGGCAAAAATTTGAGACATCTCTCTTTAAAACTAATGAATACTTATATAATTTTAAGGGGCGTGATAAGGAATGTTCTGAAAATATTTTTTAAGGATCATAAATAAAGAAAAATATTTAACAAAATCAATTATTTCAATCTTTAATGTATTGAATACAAGTATTTAAAAAGAATATAATTTTTTATATCATTTATCAATTGGTATTCAATTCAATGAGGAATTACATTCAAAGTATTAAGTCTAGTCAAAAAATTAACCGCCTTAGCTAACAAATGGGCAACCGAATTTGTTTGACGCTTAACAAACCTTACTTTAAAGTTTGGAATAAAATGTAATAAGTTTTTAATGGACTTAATTATAAGATTAAATTCAGTTGCCATCATAGTTGGTATGGATTGATCGAACCACCATTTGAGAGTCACTTTCAAATATCACATGATCCAAATGCATATGGATGATTGTTTGAATCGCTCCTTTTATGGCCATGGTTTCTGCTTCTATGACTGAATAATGGTCAACATCCCACGATGTACCAATAATGATGTATCTACCAAAGCTATCTTGAACGCACCAACGTCTGTTAGTAGTCCCTTTTTGCCTATTGAAACCTGTGCCCACATTGCACTTCAACCATCCTACAATCGGCATATTCCACACAGTTTGGACATTATGGGCATCAATATCCCTCCCCTGACACTCTTGAGCTTTAAACCATTGTTAAGGGTCAAATTGTGCATACTTTTGATGGTATTTTGTGGCCCTTTCCAATTGTTTCCTTTGTATTTTAGTAGTAAATTTATAAGTTTTAGTGTAAATATGCAAGTTTCCGATTTTTTTGTAAATGTTGTAAATTATGATCATTTTGATGCTTTTTGACAGGTCTTTTTGCTGATATATAATTATTGGAATCTATGGTGAAGGAAAGAAGGCCTAGAAGATCATCATCGCAACGATCGTGTCGGTAAATCGCGCTTAGCGCGCGATTTCACTGTTAAGGAAGTAATTAATGGCCTTCAATCGCGTTAAGCGGCCTCCAACCGTGCTTAGCGCGCTTTCTGAGAATTTGCCTCTATTTTGTTGACCGCACTTAGCGCACTTTTTATGGCGTTTAGCACGGTGCCACTTACTGCTACTTTTTGCACTTTCTATAAGTAGCCACCTTAGAAAATATTTTGTAACGGCTTTACATTTTTCAGAACTTTTGAGATTAGAAAGGGTTTTTAGGTCAAAAAAACTTAGAAACTCAAGAAGAAGTGAGAATCAAATCTTTAGAGCATCAATCTTCGATTCTTCGACTTTGATGCTAGTAAAGCTTACCTTTTTACTTGTTGATCAAGCTACCATGGTGATGGGTAGCTAAACACTTTTGTGTCAAGATTAGAGGTAGTTAACCTTACTATTATGTTTTTTTTATCTTTTGTATGTGAACAAGGTTGATGATCAATAGATGACGAAGATATTTGTTTTTAATGTTGTATTTATGATTTGAATCACTCTCGACGTAGATTTTCCAAGTCTTGATCTAATTTCTTCATCTATTAATAAATAAACTCTAGACATAGATTTGGAAGTTAACATTTGCTTTGTATCGATCTTTATGTTTATTGTTTCGATTGTTATTTTGAGAAATCATCTAGCGATTAAAACAATAATACCCACGAAGTCGCTTTAGAGATAAACGGATTCGCGAGGATACGCGATTGTATTGATCGAAACTACATTCACATGCTTGATTAATCGGATATGTATGAAAAGGGTTAACGAAATCTAATCTTGACATATTTTTGTTAAAACAAAACATCTTTCTCTAGTTTACATCTTTACTACAAAATTTATGTTACAAAACAAGAACTTTGTGAAAACCCCCCTTTTTCTTAGAACTCTAAATTGTTGAATGGTAAGCATCTAGATATCTGAACAATCCATGCGGATACGATAAAACAACTCACCTAAAATACTTTTCAACAACCATTCATGTCATATATTATATGCTTGCATACCTAACTTCGACACCTCATCTCTTTCATTGTTCCATATCACATTATCCCTTTTATTCCAAAGCACCTAAATCAAAATTGCAACTCTCCCCGTAATCCTCCTATCTTTTTTGCTACAAATATCATGAATAATGGCCTTAGCATCACTAAAATCCAGCAAACGAGATTCGATAATAGAAGACAAATATGTTGCCCTCCAACTTTGATTAGTAGTAAGACACCCAAAAACACGTGTCAATCATCTTCCTCATCATTATCACACAATTGAAAATTTGGGAGACACTTAACAAAATGTTGACGAAGTCTGCTTTAGGTTGGAAGGCATCCCCTGCAAATTCTCCACAACAAATTTTTTTGCTCTAGGAGGCGCTATAATGTTCCACAAACTGACCCAATCCCCCCTCCTTTCTAGAGTTCAACCGTAGATTGGGCATACCTCAACAACCTGTAAGCAGTTTTGACGTTAAACATACTATTTTGTTCTTCTTTCTGAATC